AGGCAGCCGTGGACGAGGAGGTCCAGCACCGTGGGCAGTACCGGCTCCAACATGCTCGACGATCTGCAAGCTTGCAGCAGCTCCCCTTACGACTTGACTGTTGCCGTGTGGAACGAAGAGATCGTCTGGCTAGAGGTACTCCTTGGATCGCATTTGCATTGGTGACCTGTGGGCTGTGGCTGCTTGGACGACATGCATCTACATATATAATATGCAGGCCAGGGAGACTTGACTCACCTTGGACGAGCTAGCTTTGGTGGTGCAGCTGGTGTTGGGCATATGGGCGGCAAACGTAGAGCAAGTTCCCGGCAAATCCACGAGGAATATATGCAAACTTACTCCTAGAGCTTTGTTGCGTTGCGACTATGTTACTCCTATGTATACTCCCTCGCTGTCTTCCTTCTTATATGTGCTTTTCCCCCATCGATTGGTTTCTAATCTAATCTGCGCAAGACTTGGGTTAGCTGCTTGCTTGTAAGCTGTAACCATCTATCACTGCTCTTTGCTTTGGTACCAAGACAAGAAACTAACAGCGTGCGGGACGGGAGGTTACGGTACATCCAACCGGCCACGCACGGCGTGAGAAATTTCCAGGCAGCCGTAGCTTTCTGCTGCTGCTTAGAGAGTAGACAGACGGTGGATGGCATGGCATGAGTGAGCCGACGCGTTTGGCATTGACGGCGCGCGAGAGTTCAGTTCCGACTTCCGAGTCGTGGCAGCCTGCCCAGCTTACCGGCCTCCTCTGGTCCAGTCAGTAGTGTCGTTAGCTAGCCTACGGGTCGTCGGACCATCAATTATATATCGATGATCTCTCACTCACTAAAGAATTACCGGCACGACCGTCTGACTCCCTCAGGTCATTTTCCAGCTTCCGATCGGCGAGACGTGTCGTTGCGTTTGTCGGCGACCTGCCCTGCCCCCGTCAAAACCAAACCATACTAAAGTTGCAGAGAAATTCTGGAGTTGGGAGTAGTTTAGAAAAAGAAAAGAAAAGAAAACACATCCTAATCCTAGCGTCCGATCGAAATCGCGGCGACCGGGGGTTGAATTGAAACCATGCATGCATATCGGCGCGCGAACGAAACCACGGAGTAGTAACACGCGACGCCAACCGCCGCATGCATTTGCCTCCTCGCCTCCGGACTTGGCAAATTTTCACATCTCAAATCAACACGTCCAGACGAGGACGATGCAAATGCGTCTGGGCAGTGGACTGGGCAGTCCACGACGGGTCTCTCCCGTTCGTCAACTCCATCTCAAGACCACAGCTGGGCTGGGCTGGGCTGCTTACTCTTGTCGCCCGGCCCCGCCGGGACGACGCAGATACAGGTTTAATTAGAGGGCTTGTGGTTTTTGATTGAATGTTTAGCTTCAGGTTTGTTTTTTTGAGAATAAGTTTAGCTACAGTTCTTAAGGGTGGTAGTAGAGCTAGGCGTAATGGCTGGCACAGGCACAATCGAGTGGTGATTGTGGTGGCAGGCATAGTGTAACGCCCTAGGCCCGGCACAGACCCACTCTACCGAGGAATGGGTCCCACCCACATAGCAACCCGCTTTTGTTTTTGTTCTTGCTTCGCGTAAAACGGTTAACCGAAGGTTACTTCGTGTCCTTGGTCTGACTATTTAAGTCGGTCTGGCCGCCGGACTAAACTCTGGGTGCACAGCATTTTGTGGTGCTACAGTACTCGCGCGAACCACGCCTGACCAACAGTGCTGCGGCGCCACAGTAACCCGATTTTTTGGCCCAGCCACCTTGGTGCTACAGTCCCCCCAGCTACAGTATCGGGCCACAGCCCACACGCACGGTTACAGTGCCTCGCCCCAACCGGAATTCGGCCCATGCGCCGGGTCTCACATCCTTTAACGCCCCAGCCCAGAAAGATGGCTAAGATCCACTCTACACGTTGAATAGACCACACCTGCTAATTAACTCTGGTTCGAACCTTTGTCCTCGCTACGCGAAAAAGGCGCAAGAGAGTTAATTAGCAGGTGTGGTCTATTCAACGTGTAGAGTGGATCTTAACCGTCTTCCCGGGCTGGGGCATTACAAATGGTATTCAGAGCCAACTCTCGTGGTTTCACGGACATATGGCTCGGGAGCTCGAACAGGTTGCGCATGGCTTTGCAAGAGCATGCCACTTGGGCCGGGGAGCTAGGAATATGGACGTGGACTAAGAGAGTCGATCATGGACATTTGTCCCGTTTGGGTAGGTTGGTTCGGCTCTCGACGAGGACGGCGAGTCCTCAAGGGTGGCTGGATGTGAGACCCAGCGTATGGGCCGAATTCCGATTGGGGCGAGGCACTGTAACTGCACGCGTGGGCTGTGGCCTGACTGTAGCTACGGGCACTGTAGCACCGAGGTGCTGGGCAAAATCGGGTACTGTGGCGGAGCAGCACTGATGCTCAGTACTGTTCATGAGAGTTACTGTATCATCACGAAACGTTGTGCAACAGCCCTTTAGTCCTCTGGACGACAAAACCAACTTAAATAGCTAGACTAAGGACGCGTAGTAACCTTTGATTAACCGTTTTATACGAAGTGAGGATGAAAACGTAAACAGGTTGCTACGTAGATGAGGTCCACCCCTCGATAGAGTGGGCCTGTGCCGGTCCTGAGGCGTTACGCATAGCCTGCACCAAACTTCGAATCCATGCATGCGCTGGCAAATACTTGCTGGTACGTACGTGTCGTTTTCGTTATCCACTGGCAGAGGAAATTATCAGGTAACTTTCTCCGATCCCGTTGGAAGGATCATATCGAGTCGCCGTTTACTACTAGCTTAGCGTGTACTACACCTACAGTCTACAAGTCGCTTGAGGTGCATGGATATGGACTTGACCGTCCAGTCCTCCTGTGTCGAGTCAAGCTCAAAAATGGCTCAACTCAACTGCTCAAGGGACTCCAGAGTCCAGATGTACTAGGCAGTAGTTTAGAAAAAGGAAACACATCCTAGAAGAAAGCGATTCGATAACGACGGGCGGTTGAAACTTGCGAATTGGAATCACGGAGCAATTCGTGACACGCATGCATTGCCTCCGGGACTGGCAAGTCCAAATTTCAAATGAACATGCATGCATGAGCTCGTCCAGACGATTAGACGAGAGGTGGATAAATTGATGCGTCATTGCATGATGCATGCGAGAGAAGAAACTATATCCTGCTGCTGCATGCATTCGCGATTTCGCGTTGGGGCAGTGTGGTCGGTGGGCGTCAAGACTGACTCTGGGCCTGGGCTGCATGTCGCCCTGCTGGGATGAAACTGCAACTGCAGTTCGTGATTAGTACTTTACAGGTTTCGCCGCGTGGCGATCGAGCTGCATGCAATTATTGGGATTTGGCCATTTGGGAGTACGCGTAAGGGCAGTCCCAGAGCATCGGCGACGGCGCCGGTTGACTCGGAGTCTTGGTCGCCGCAGCATCGAGAGGAGGCGTCCCAATATTCCCAAGGCGTTTCAGTCTCAGTCAGCTAGCTTGCCCTTCCAAGTCCGGAGCAGAGCACGGACCACCAAAGCGAATTCACGCATACGTACAGTTTTTTTTTAAATGTGAATTCAGTCTGAATTCGATAACCATGCTATGCTAGCGTCAGTAAGCCGAACGGACAGCGTCACAAGATGGCTTCGCTCCAAAATAACTCAACAGGCCATGCTACTCTGCGATGGCATGGCATGGGCACCCAAAATCAGAACCAAACTCGCCCGCTCTAAACTTCTAACTTTTGTTCCAAGACACTCGCGAGTGGAAAAATCTACCTAGTCAGGACACAAAATATCACCACCACCATGCTTCAAGCTTCAACACATCCTTGATCCTTCGATTAAGAATCGCTACAGCATATACTTGGAACGGCAAACCCCAAACATGCGTTGCTAATCAGTAAATTGCAATAAATAAAAACCAGCATGATATTCCCAAAATGAGAAAAAACTTGCATTTGTCTACGAATCCATCCATGCCAGCCTGCTAAACAAGGCGTGGCAAATCAAAACATTCCAAGTTTGATGCCTCCCAAATGGGCTTCATCAGACACACCTACCAAGCAGAAGGACCAACAGAGTGGGGAACCAGCGATCAAACCCGCACCTACCACATGACCACACCATCAAAATAAACAGCAAGCGGGATTCTTGCTCAGGAAATAGTTCCAAGAAGATGATAAGCATGGCAGCAACCTGCTCCGCTTATCCCAGCCGTCACCCGACTGGCCCAGGCCAGCTACCATGGCAAATGCTGTTTCGGCGATCTCCTTAGATCAAAATACCAACACGAATGCACTTGGACCTGGCTGCAACAGAGACCAATTTCAGTTTTTTTTCAAAAAAAAAAAAAAATCATGAACAAGAAGGACAGAGCAATAAAAGGAACACAAAATAAACACAGCAATAAGATACCAGATATCCTCAAGGGTGACATTCAGGACCATACGAGGCAGCACCTGCAACATTCCATCCACTCCAGAAATGCAATGGAGCATGGAAATAAGGACCACTGGACGGCTTTTGCCTTCACATAAATTATCCAGCCATCTTCTAACGAGTTCTCATAGACAGTTAAAATATAAGACGCAAAGTCACTGCATACATATGCCATAACAATTAGTGGAGGGGTTGCCTTACATTGCCCATACTGTCAACCAAATTGGCGTCTACATGCACGTCCAAGTCTTCCGGAGATGGTAAGCACGCTAGAGGCTAACATTTATTTGAGGCAAGTAAACATAAGAAGCACTAGCAGATTACAAGCCACATAGTTTTCAAGAAAGCGAAGATAATAGTTTGTCTTCTGGGGGCGACCATTCAGAGATATGTACAGAAACTACAATATAAAGATGCCAGCCTCATATTTCAGAACACCTTCACCATATTGCAAGCCTGCATCCAACGCTGTCTGCAATGCAAGCGCAACTACTGAGGGAGGTATCAAGCACATTAATAGTAGGGTTGGTGTTTTCATTGTTCACATTATTACGGTCATAGACTCATAGTATTTATCATTACCTTCAGTTCTCAGAAGAGTGCGGAACACTTTCATCATCATCAGATGAGAATGGATCAGAGAAGAGTGTGCTCAGAGCAGAGAAGATAGGACTATCAGAATGGTTGTCTCCATTGCGGTTACTACTTTCTGTATCACTACTGCTTGCAGCAGCATTGTCTCCATCTCTGTTGACGGCCCCTGCAGTGCTGGCTGATTCACATGGGTTCTTCGTCTCCTCAGTAGGCAACTGAAATCGACAGATTGGGCAAGAACTGTGGAGCTCCAGCCACGGAAGTATGCAGTGGGAGTGGAACTTATGCTGACAGGGGATCTGCTTTGCTTCTGCTCCCATCTCAAAATCCTCAAGACAGACTGAACAGCCCAACACTTCCTCGATGTTCACAGTTGGCAGCGCAGCTACTGCTTCCTTCTTGGCAGGTGGTGTGCCAGAACGATTGAGGTCACTCTCCGCCAAACGCTGCAAGAGAGTATCTAAGGCAGGACCAAGAAAGTAATCCCCAAGTGACACACCAGAACTTGTGTTGCTCGAGTCCTCTTGATTGTCATCAGATCCAAATGTTCCTTGCAGAATAATAGCCTCATTGTTGGAGTTGATCAGTATTAGGCTTTCTGTCCTCTCTCTGCCACGAGCACTCACTCTCTCAATTTGCCTTGCCCTCTCTCTCTGCCTCTCCATCCGCTCCTGAATCCTCTCCCTTGCCATCCGCCTCTCCATCCTCTCCCTTCTCGCTCTCTCCAGCTCCAGGTCTCTCTCTGTATCACTGTCAGTGTCATCCGAGCCCCTTACGTCATCACGGTCACGGATAGTCTGGAGCATCCTCAAAAGCGCTGACAAGCCCCTCCTCCTCTGTCTCCTACTGGAAGCTTCAAGCTCATGGTCTGAATCATCCTCTTCGTCATCCTCATCAGCATCATCGTCGGCCATGGCCTCCCTCCTGAGTCTTGATCTGCGCGACGAACCCCCCAACATACCAAACAGCAGTGGAGCCAATAGAGAGAGGGAGCGATCAGACCTTGAGTTCATAGCTGGTTCGAAGCCTTCAGAGCCCATCTCTTCCACGAACCCGCCCTCACAGCTTGGGCACTTCATCTCAGGCATAGGATCTATCACCTCCTCACACCTGTGGCACCAGTACCTAACTCCCTGGCCTTCATCCATCTTGAAACAAGCTCTCTTGAGACTTAGTTTCCCTTCAGTATACTATCTCCCAGTCCAAATTCACCCCTGGATACTTATAGCACAACCCAGCAACCGTCAGGAGCTCTACCGCGTCAAGAAGATGTCTTCCTTCACTGACCTGAGAAAGCTATCCTTGTCACCCTGAAACAAATTTCCCCATGAGCATCAGTACTTAACTTTTACTAGGAAAAAAAGCACACACGCAAAGATTATTAAGGTACTACTAACAGATCTACCAAAAGAAAGGAAAACCAGTAGCTAGTGTAATCCCACTGAGGAAGCAAGAAAGGCAGGACATATTTCTAGGACTAGGAAACTTCGTAGCAGGAGCGGACCCGGTAAAGGACATGGGTGTGCACATCTACACCCGACAAGTTTTTGCGAAACAATCGGAGCTAATAGGCATAATACACGCATACACACTTGTAGTTAGATCAGATCCGAGTAGAAATAGTTAAGTTAGGGTTTGGGTGCTCAGTTCTCGCACAGCAGGCAAGGGAAGACAAGGGGTAGGCGTACCTGTGGTGCTGTCGCCGGAGAAGGGCCCGACGAAGACCTCGGAACCTGGCCGGGCGGCGGCGACGGCCGGTCGGCCGCCCAGTCGTCGCCAAGAGGAAGAGACCGAGAGAGAGGGGGGAGGGAGTGCGCACACTGGGAGGGAGAGAGAGAGAGAGAGAGAGAGCCGGCTTGCTCAGCCTACAGGCTACAGGCAAGACCGGGGTGGGTCCGTGACTCCGCGTCCGCCTTTGTCAGGGATTCAATCGGTACTACTATTTGGTTGCAGGACTTTGGTTGCCATTTATTAAAAAAACAAGAGGACTTATGGTTGGGGCTGGATCTGATTTTTGATTGGTTTTAGGCTGATAAACTTGTCTGGTGCTAGTTTATTAGACTGACTTCAATGAAGAGCACCCAAAATCAAGACGTATTCCCCGGTTTACATCGCGCACAGTGAAAGGGTTTGTGACCCATAAACTCCCTTCTCCAACCGTCGGGCGCAACAGAGGTCCTCTTCCCTTCCTTCTCTCGCGAGCATCGCCGCCTCTTCCCTTCCTCCTCTCGCAGGCCTGAGCGGGCGCGATGGAGCCAGAGGCAAGAGATTCCGTCTCCTCCTCCCATGGTCGTCTTCTCCAGGCCGTCGCGCCCAGGGTGCGGCCCCGAGGAAGCCACGGCGCCGCCATTGTCTGCAGAAAGTCATGGCGCGGCGCCGCCACCACTTTACCAAGAAGCCTGCAGCGGCGGCACCGCCGCCGCCCTGCAAGCAGCAGCATGGCTGGCCGCAGCGCCGCCGCAGCCTGAGCCTCCACGGCAAGCAAGCCACGGGCGCGGACCATGGGCGGGCATGCGGTGTTCTACTTCCCAAATCCACCTCCGCGAGCTCGCCACCACCGCGGGGCCCGCACACCCGGCGGCCATCACCAAGTCGTCCCTCCACCATCAATGCGGTCGCCATACCGAAGTCGCCGAGCCGTCGCAGACTTCTCGACCTCCGCTTCAACTCGACATCTCCGAGGAGCTCGGCGGCTTCGCTCACTGCTGCTTCTTCTGCGGGGAGTGGCCCTTGTCGTGGCGCGCCGCTCCACCACAAAGCGGACCTCGTCGGTGGGATCCTCCTCCTCCCCCCCGTCGCCTATCCTCGCTCCCACCGACCTCCATCGTCGATGACCCCTCCCCGCCCTGATGCCGCCACCCTGCTTCCTCTCGATGGCGGTACGGGTGGATCCATACTCCACGACGGCAGCCACGCCTCCACCGACCTCCATCGGCCCCGCCCCTGTGTCGGGCCCCGGCGTCGGTTGCTCCTCCCTCTCTCTCTCTTTTTTGCGTCGTCGAGAACGACGACGCTTTTTTGCCTCCCGACACCGCTGCTACGCAAAATGTTTGGCTTGAATGCGTCCTCCGTTGGAGCGTGATCTTACAACGTAAAAACACTGTGCAAGACGCATTTTGCGTTTGGGTCGGCTTTTGCATCCGCCGTTGGAGATAGTCTTATGAGAGAAAATATTATACCATGGCTGATAAGTCTGAGCTGAAACCAACAAACGAACAGGCTGAGAAAGGGCTCGTTCCATGTTTTGTAGGTCCGGTCCATCTCTTTTTTTATTTATTTATGTTTGGAGGTACAATGAGATGTCTAACAAGTAGGATCTACATGTCATTCTATTTTCTTTCTTTCTCCTTGCATTTTCTTCTCGTCATGCACCAGGCCACCTTAATAGCCACAACTTTTTTTGGCGAAAAAACAGTCGCTGCTTGATTCGGACGTTTATCGCGGTAAGCTCACCAGGCCTACAGCCTATTCGTTTCGGCTGGATTGACTTATAAGCCATGGCTGAAAGTACTGCTGGTTGGTTTGGTGTGAGAGGAAAACACTGTTGGCTGATGAAAGCTCTAGTTTGGTTTTGGTTAATTGATAAAACCCTAAGTGCTAACCTAGTTTATCAAAGTGATTATGAGATAGGTAGCACTACTCCAAGTGATGAAGCAATGGTGAAGATCATGATGATGGTGATGGCATGGTGATGATCAAATGCTTGAACTTGGAAAAGAAGAAAGAGAAAAACAAAAGGCTCAAGGCAAAGGTATAAATAGTAGAAGATATTTTGTTTTAGTGATCAAGACACTTAGCGAGTGTGATCACATTTAGGATCAATAGCCGTACTATTAAGAGGGATGAAACTCGTATCGAAATGCGGTTATCAAAGTGCCACTAGATGTTCTAACTCATTGCATATGCATTTAGAATCTAGTGGAGTGCTAACACCCTTGACAATGTTTTGTGAAAATATGCTAACACATGTGCACAAGGTGATACACTTGGTGGTTGGCACATTTGAGTAAGGGTTAGAAACTTCACCGCCGGAGTGTTCGCCCGTAGAGTGCGGACAGTCCGACGGTGCCACCGGTGCTCTATACAGAAAAGTTGGAGGTCACTGTAAGTGACCGGACACTAGTCTCGGTAGGACTGGCGCGTCCGATCAGTAAAAGCAGCAAAGACGCTGGCATCGGTCTCTGACCGAACGCTGGGTCACTTAGTGACCGGACGTTGGAGGGGTGCGTCCAGTCCTGCTGACGTGGCAGCGCACAGTGGTGACACCAAGTGACCGGACGCTGGGTGAGTCCGGTCGAGCATGACCGGACACGTCTGGTCGTGATTTTTTGCTTCTAGATGCTTACTGGAAATGACCGGACGCTGAGGTCCTGCATCCGATCACTTCACAGCAGCGTGTCCAGTCATCACTTGACCATTGGGATCGGGCGCTCAATATTTGAAGAGAGGAGACACGTGGCGTGCATCGCACGACCGGACACTGAGGTCCAACGTCCGGTCAATATGACCGGAGCGTCTGGTCACCCCGTGTTGTGCCCAGTGAAGGGGTACAACGGCTCTATTTCATGAGGGCTTCTATTTAAGCCCCACGGCCGGCTCAAGCTCACTCTCTTGGCCATTTGCATTGATATAGCAACCTTGTGAGCTTAGTCAAAGCCCTCCCACTAATCTCCATCATTGATCCATCATTATTGTGAGATTGGGAGAGAATCTAAGTGCATTGCTTGAGTGGTTGCATCTAGAGGCACTTGGTGTTCGTGTTTTGCTCTAGGATTCACTTGTTGCTCTTGGTTGTTGCCACCACCTAGATGGCTTGGAGCAGCGGAGGAGGATTGGCACGAGTTGGTGATTGTTCATGGCCATCTTCGGTGATTGTGAGGGGATTCGTACCTTCCCCGGCGAAGCGCCGAAAGGTAACTCTAGTGGATTGCTCGTGTCATTGAGTTACCTCACTTGTGGGTAGGTTCTTGCGGTGTCCAATTATGTGGACGAGGTTCGCGCAACACCTCTTAGCCACCAAACCACCAAGTGTTGGTCGACACAACGGGGAAGTAGCGTGTTGGCAAGCACTTGAACCTCGGGAGAAAATTGGTTGTTTGTTGCCCTTTAGTATTCTCCCGGTGATTGATAAAGTATCATCTTGTGATTGGTTTACTCCTCCACATGGTGGTATAATCATCTCAATTACTTATTTACATTTTCACAAACTAGCTATAACAGGCTCTTTAGTATAGCTAGAATTGAGAGATTGCTTTGTGGATTAAGTTCATCTAGTGGAGCTCTTTAGTATAGCAATTGTGAGAGCTCTTAGTGAGTAGTGACCTAGTTTATTGTGTGCCTAGTGATCATAACAACTAGAATTGTTGGATAGGTGGCTTGCAACCCTTGTAGAGCTAGAGCAAGTTTGCTTATCGTTATTTGTCATACTAATCAAATTGCTCTAGTTGGTTTGTATATTTTTAAATAGGCTATTCACCCCCCCTTAGCCATATTAGGACCTTTCAAGTGGTATCGAGCCGTGGTCACCGTTTGATTGAAGGCTTAACAACCTCGATGTCAAATTATGGCTCAAGTTGTGTTCAACCATGTGGGGTAAAAACCACCGTTCTTCGATGGCATATGCTATGATTATTGGAAGAGAAATATGAGGATGTATCTTGGTTCAATCAATGATCAAGTATGGGATGTGACCGAGAATGACTATGCTATCATTGATCCCGATAATCCCACCAACCTAGACAAGACTAACAAGCAATGCAATACAATGGCTCTCAACACCATATACAATGCCATTGATTCTAAGGTGTTTGAGCAAATCAAGGATTGTGAAAGAGCTAATCAGGTATGGAGGAGATTGGAGGAAACATATGAGGGCACATCGACGGTGAAGAGTGCCAAGTTGTACATCCTCTAGGATAAGTTGACAAGCTTCAAGATGAAGGATGATGAGAGCATTCCGAGATGTTCCATCGGTTGCAAGTAATTGTCAATGACTTGAAGGCTTTGGGAGAGAAGATCAAGGATGATGATGTCTCTCATCGGTTCTTGATGTGCCTACCTCCAAGATTTGAGATGTTGAGATTACATATCATAAGAAGAGTATTAAAGGAGAATACCCCTAACCAAGTACTAGGTGATGTCATGACAC